CCACCATCAGCCCCCCACGGACAGGTAACCCACCCACGCATCAGCGCTCCGCTCCACCAACTCCGATCGCTCGCGACTTGCTTGACGATGCCCGCTCGACATTTGGAGCTCGACACGTAAAGGGGTGGGGGGTAGGGGGCTTTCGCGACCGATATCGTCAATCGTACAGGTAGTTGTTGTTGTTGTAGTTGTTGTTGTTGTTGCGTCTTGTTTTTGGGCCGTCGTCTGATGAAGCTGGTTGTCATTACTGGCGTTAAACGTCGCCCTCGGATCGCTCATGTTGTGGCTACGCCCTCCGCCACACAACCGGCGGTGATCTTCCAGTGACGAATTGGCCACCTTCTGTCGACGTGACGCAAAGCTCGCTAGCTGGTCGTGGCTTGGTTACGGCGTGCGGTGTGGCGTGTTGTGGTGTCGGGTGGTACGGCGTGGTGTGGCGTGCTTCGACGTGGAGTGGTTGTGGCGTGGTGCGGTGTGGTGTGGCGTGGAGTGGTCTGGCGTGGTGCGGTGCGGTGTGGCGTGCTCCGATGTGGAGTGGTTGTGGCGTGGTGCGGTGTGGTGTGGCGTGCTGCGTTTGTGGCGTGGTTGTGGCGTAGTGCGGTGTGTTGTGTTGGGACGTGGTGTGCCCTGGCGTGGTGCGGTGTGGAGTGGCGTGCTCCGACGTGGTGTGGTACGGGCGCGTTGTGGCCGCGTGGCGCGTTGTGGCCCAGGGCGTGGTGGGGCGTGGCTCACGCTCCCAGACTCCACTCTCTCTTATCTGCTCGGCCATCTGACAGCAAACCGCGGTCACTCACAACACCACAACAACAACAGCAGCTGCTGCTGTTGTTGTTGCTGCTGCTGCTGCTGCTGCGAGACGCCCAGACCCCGGGATCGAACCACGGCGCGTGTTTATCACGAGGTGAAGGGGTAGGTGGAGGTCAGTGGGGCGTCACGGTGGCTATCAGATGTTAACTACCTCGCCTGGTATACAGGAGGTCGTGGGTTCTATCCCGACCCTGAAGCTTCCTGTATATTTGGAGTGTGTGTGTGTCTCTCTCTCATCATGATCACGGTGGCTAGGAGATGTTAACTTCCTCGCCTGGTATACAGGGTGTCGTGGGTTCCATCACGACCCTGACGCCTGTTGCTGTATATTTGGAGTATGCGTATCTCATCATCATCACGGTGGCTAGGAGATGTTAACTACCTCGCCTGGTATACAGGGTGTCGTGGGTTCCATCACGACCCTGACGCCTGCTGCTGTATATTTGGAGTTTAGGTCTCTCTCTCATAATTACCACAGTGGCTAGGGGATGTTTACTACCTCGCCTGGTATACAGGAGGTCGTGGGTGCGATACCGACCCTGACGCCTGCTGCTGTATATTTGGAGTTTGTGTGTCTCTCATCATGATCACGGTGGCTAGGAGATGTTAACTTCCTCGCCTGGTATACAGGGTGTCGTGGGTTCCATCACGACCCTGACGCCTGCTGCTGTATATTTGGAGTTTGCGTGTCTCTCTCTCGTCATCACCATGGTGGCTAGGAGATGTTAACTACCTCGCCTGGTATGCAGGAGGTCGTGGGTTCGATCACGACCCTGACAACTGCTGTTGTATATTTGGAGTTTGCGGTGTCTCTCTCTCTCCCCATCGCGGCAACGTGGATATATTTTTTCTCCGGCTCCTCGTCCCCCCCCCCCCCCCCCACATTCAGAATCATCACGCGTTGCAAGCAGTGGTCCTTAACCTTACCTGGTTCACAATCGTTATGAAATGTACAATGTTAATAACTACACAGGGACGTTAATTTGTGTACTTACGTTGTCCCGTGGTTACATTTGTGTTTTCGATTATTTACCTTCTAAAGATTAAAAAAACCTGGCCACGTCTCGCACCCACCCCCAGACAGGGCATCTCGCATCACCCAGGGGGTACATGCACCCCAGGTTAAACACCACTGGTGTAGTGTATACAGTAGTGTAGTGTATTGTTGTGTAGTGTATAGCGTAGTATATAGTGTAGTGTATAGCAGTGTAGTGTATAGCGTAGTTTATAGTATAGTGTATAGTAGTGTAGTGTATAGCGTAGTGTAGTGTATAGCAGTGTAGTGCTCAGCGTAGTGTAGAGTGTAGTGTATTGTAGTGTAGTGTATTGCGTAGTTTATAATGTAGTGTATAGCAGTGTAGTGTATAGCGAAGTGTAGTGTATAGCAGTGTAGTGTAGTGCATAGTAGTGTATAGCGTAGTGTAGAGTGTAGTGTATAGTGTAGTGTATAGCAGTGTAGTGTATAGCAGTGTAGTGTATAGCGTAGTGTAGAGTGTAGTGTATAGTATAGTGCATAGTAGTGTAGAGTGTAGTGTAGTGTATAACAGTGTAGTGTACAGTGTAGTGTACAGTGTAGTGTATAGTGTAGTGTATAGCGTAGTGTATACAGCAACACACCAACACACACCGACATTAACACCAACACACACACGCACCAACGCACCAACACACACACACGTACCAACACATATGAACACACATACCAACACGCATGAACACACACGAACACACCCCCCATAACACGAAGACAAAGATCTCCCGTGTAGCCTTGACAGACTGTTGGGGCAAGTGCTGTTAGCGAGCAGCACCTATGAAGGCCGGCACGGCACACGAGGGGGTGGGTGGCTAGCACCACGCCCGGCCGCCTTTGTCTCCCCAGTGGCAATGTTTACACACCGCATCAGGTACTCATTTGAGGCTGAGTCGACCTAGGAGAGGCCCAGGACCGGTACAAATAATCGCCACTGGTATTGGCCGTGAGCGGGAATCCAACCCGGGTCGCCAGGTTCGTAGCGCAGCGCGCTAACCGTTGCACCACCGCTCCCCACACTGACCGCACCAACATCACCACCACCAACAACAACCACCGCCATTCGCCACTAAGTGGTGGCGACATCACCACGGCGCTGGTGCCAGGCTAGGTGCACGTTAAGGCCACGTGAAGTGTCGAACGCCCGCTGGCAAGGAGGTCACGGAGCAGACCCAGCAGGTGCCACGTGTCGACTGACTGAGATGACTGGGCAGATGCACCACCCTGTGCCTCCCACTGTGCCAGGTTTGGTGCACCAGGAGGTCACGGGGCAGACCCAGCAGGTGCCGCGGGTCGACTGACTGAGATCACTGGGCCGATGCACCACCTGTGCCCCCCTACTGTGCCAACTTCAATTCAACTACCACGAAACTACGCCACCGCCACCACCACCGCCACCACCACCACCGTCCGGCTTTAGGTCTTCTCTTCCCCTGGCTCACCGACCTCTGGGGTACCACTCCACTCCCCGTCTCAGTATACCTCACCTCCTCCACCCTGCATCATCCTGAATCATCCTGCACCTTGCATCATCCTCCACCACCCTCCGTCATCCACCACCCTGCATCATCCTCCACCCTGAATCATCCTCCACCCTGTGTCATCCTCCACCCTGAATCATCCTTCACCCTGCATCATCATCCACCACCCTGAATCATCCACCACCCTGAATCATCCACCACCCTGAATCATCCACCACCCTGAATCATCCTCCACCCTGAATTATCCACACTCTGAATCATCCACCACCCTGAATCATCCACCACCCTGAATCATCCACCACCCTGAATCATCCTCCACCCTGAATCATCCACCACCCTGAATCATCCTCCACCCTGCATCATCCTCCACCCTGAATCATCCTCCACCCTGCATCATCCTCCACCCTGAATCATCATCCACCCTGAATCATCCTCCACCCTGCATCATCCTCCACCCTGAATCATCATCCACCCTGAATCATCCTCCACCCTGCATCATCCTCCACCCTGCATCATCCACCACCCTGCGTCATCCACCACCCTGCATCATGCGATTTGAAAAGTCCTATTACTTTCTTATTGGAATTGTTTCATTTTTAAAAATAATTTTTATAACTTTATTTATTTAACTTAACAATTGTTCTATGTTTGATTGTTCTATTTCAATTAAAGCATTTTTATTAATACATTTTGGAAGCATATCTCTTAAGTTATCATCCCTGCATTAGAATATATGGAGCAGTTCATATTTCAAGGTATCACGTGGTAATGCTCCATCACGTGTTTTAAATCTATTACACAGTGAAAATTGAACTGAAGCTTGATTTTTAAAAAAATTTAATCGCAAATCAAATCGCAATCGCAACATCTGTCAGAAAAATCGCGAGGGTTGCGTCATCTCAACGTGCGCTCGACTGTGAAGGATGCTGATTGATGATGATGATGTTGGTGGTGGTGGTGGTGGTGGAAGTGTCACACAGCGCTCACACACACACACATCCTCATTCTACGAGAGAGCACGAGGGAGAGAGAGAGAGAGAGAGGGGGGAGAGGAGAGAGATTCAAAAGCAAAATTCCTCGCTCTCGCAACCGATCCGATGCCCCGGGGTTTGCGTAACCCCCGTGACGCACGCGACTCGAGGCAGGGGTTGCGGGAAGCGGAGAGGCGAAGTCCCGGGGGGGGTTGTGGAGGGGTTAGGGGGGACAGCGCCTAGGGGGGATGTGAGGGGCTGGAGGAATGAGGGGGGGGAAGGGAGGGGAGGGGGGCGAAGGAAGAAAGGAAGTAGTAGTAGTAGTGGTGGTGGTGGTGCGGGATGGGAAACTGAACCCAAGTGGAACACAGCGATCATTTCCATACGGCTCCCTCTCCTCTTCCTCCTCCTCCCCCCCCCTCCTCCCTCTCCCCTTCCTCCCTCTCCTCCTCCTCCCCCTCCTCCTCCTCCCCCTCCTCCTCCTCCCCCTCCTCCTCCTCCCTCTCCTCCCCCTCCTCCCTCTCCCCTTACTCCCTCTCCTCCATCCCCCCTCCCTCTCTCTGCTCCCTCTCCTCCTCCTCCCCCTCCTCCCCCTCCTCCTCCTCCCCCTAATCCTCCCTCTCATCCCTCTCCTCCCTCTCCTCCTCCTTACCCCTCTTCCTCTACCCCCTCCGCCCTCTCCTCCTGCTCCTCCTCCTTCTCCCTCCACCTCCCCTCCCTCTCCTCCTCCTCCTCCAACCTCTTCCTCCTCCCCCTCCCTCCTCTCCCGAGTGACAAAATCGCGGTGCGTTCCTGCTCTGTGTCGGCACTCGAGGCTGGGGCTGGACACGCGCTGCCGGCGAACATCGCGACTCCCTCCGCCAGGCATCGAACTCAGGAGGGTGAAGCTGCGCGGATTCGGCTCCGTTCATCGCACAGACTTCGAGCGTCACTGCCGAGAGTGGTGAGTGTCACAGCGAGGGTGGTGAGTGTCACAGCGAGGGTGGTGAGTGTCACAGCGAGGGTGGTGAGTGTCACAGCGAGGGTGGTGAGTGTCACAGCGAGAGTGGTGAGTGTCACAGCGAGGGTGGTGAGTGTCACTGCCGAGAGTGGTGAGTGTCACAGCGAGGGTGGTGAGTGTCACAGCGAGGGTGGTGAGTGTCACAGCGAGGGTGGTGAGTGTCACAGCGAGGGTGGTGAGTGTCACAGCGAGGGTGGTGAGTGTCACAGCGAGGGTGGTGAGTGTCACAGCGAGGGTGGTGAGTGTCATAGTGAGGGTGGTGAGTGTCACAGCGAGGGTGGTGAGTGTCACAGCGAGGGTGGTGAGTGTCACAGCGAGGGTGGTGAGTGTCACAGCGAGGGTGGTGAGTGTCACAGCGAGAGTGGTGAGGGTCACAGCGAGGGTGGTGAGTGTCACAGCGAGGGTGGTGAGTGTCACAGCGAAGGTGGTGAGTATCACAGCGAGGGTGGTGAGTGTCACAGTGAGGGTGATGAGTGTCACAGCGAGGGTGGTGAGTGTCACAGCGAGGGTGGTGAGTGCCACAGCGAGGGTGGTGAGTGTCACAGCGAGGGTGGTGAGTGTCACAGCGAGGGTGGTGAGTGTCACAGCGAGGGTGGTGAGTGTCACAGCGAGGGTGGTGAGTGTCACAGCGAGGGTGGTGAGTGTCACAGCGAGAGTGGTGAGTGTCACAGCGAGGGTGGTGAGTGTCACAGTTAGGGTAGTGAGTGTCACAGCGAGGGTGGTGAGTGTCACAGCGAGGGTGGTGAGTGTCACAGCGAGGGTGGTGAGTGTCACAGAGAGAGTGGTGAGTGTCACAGCGAGGGTGGTGAGTGTCACAGCGAGGGTGGTGAGTGTCACAGCGAGGGTGGTGAGTGTCACAGCGAGGGTGGTGAGTATCACAGCGAGGGTGGTGAGTGTCACAGCGAGGGTGGTGAGTGTCACAGCGAGGGTGGTGAGTGTCACAGCGAGGGTGGTGAGTGTCATAGTGAGGGTGGTGAGTGTCACAGCGAGGGTGGTGAGTGTCACAGTGAGGGTGGTGAGTGTCACAGTGAGAGTGGTGAGTGTCAGAGTGAGGGTGGTGAGTGTCACAGCGAGGGTGGTGAGTGTCACAGTGAGGGTGGTGAGTGTCACAGCGAGGGTGGTGAGTGTCACAGCGAGGGTGGTGAGTGTCACAGTGAGGGTGGTGAGTGTCACAGCGAGGGTGGTGAGTGTCACAGCGAGGGTGGTGAGTGTCACAGTGAGGGTGGTGAGTGTCACAGCGAGGGTGGTGAGTGTCACAGCGAGGGTGGTGAGTGTCACAGTGAGGGTGGTGAATGTCACAGCGAGGGTGGTGAATGTCACAGTGAGGGTGGTGAGTGTCACAGCGAGGATCATAAACCATCACCACAAACCATCATCACAAACGATCATCACAAACCATTATCACAAACCATCATCATCACAAACCATCATCACAAACCATCATCACAAACCATCATCACAAACCATCATCATCACAAACTATCATCACAAACCATCATCACAAACCATCATCACAAACCATCATCATCACAAACCATCATCACAAACCATCATCACAAACCATCATCATCACGAACCATGATCATCACATACCATCATCACAAACCATCATCATCACAAACCATCATCATCACAAACCATCATCACAAACCATCATCACGAACCATCATCATCACGAACCATCATCACAAACCATCATCATCACAAACCATCATCACGAACCATCATCATCACAAACCATCATCATCACAAACCATCATCATCACAAACCATCATCATCACAAACCATCATCACAAACCATCATCACAAACCATCATCATCACAAACCATCATCATCACAAACCATCATCATCACAAACCATCATCACGAACCATTTTCATCACAAACGATCATCACAAACCATCATCATCACAAACCATCATCATCACAAACATCATCATCACAAACCATCATCATCACAAACCATCATCATCACAAACATCATCATCATCACAAACCATCATCATCACAAACCATCATCACGAACCATCATCATCACAAACCATCATCATCACAAACCATCATCACGAACCATCATCATCACAAACCATCATCACAAACCATCATCATCACAAACCATCATCACGAACCATCATCATCACAAACCATCATCATCACAAACCATCATCACAAACCATCATCACAAACCATCATCACAAACAATCATCATCACAAACCATCATCACGAACCATCATCATCAAAAAACATCATCACAAACCATCATCACAAACCATCATCATCACAAACCATCATCATCACGAACCATCATCATCACAAACCATCATCATCACAAACCATCATCATCACAAACCATCATCACAAACCATCATCATCACAAACCATCATCATCACAAACCATCATCACAAACCATCATCACGAACCATCATCACAAACCATCATCACAAACCATCATCATCACAAACCATCATCACAAACCATCATCATCACAAACCATCATCATCACAAACATCATCATCACAAACCATCATCATCACAAACCATCATCATCACTAACCATCATCACAAACCATCATCATCACAAACCATCATCACAAACATCATCATCACAAACCATCATCATCACAAACCATCATCATCACAAACATCATCATCACAAACCATCATCATCACAAACCATCATCACAAACCATCATCATCACAAACCATCATCATCACAAACCATCATCACAAACCATCATCATCACAAACCATGATCACAAACCATGATCACAAACCATCATCACGAACCATCATCATCACGAACAATCACCACAAACCATCATCATCACAATCCATCATCACAAACCATCATCACAAACCATCATCACAAACCATCATCATCACGAACCATCATCACAAACCATCATCATCACAAACCATCATCACGAACCATCATCACAAACCATCATCACAAACCATCATCATCACAAACCATCATCACGAACCATCATCACAAACTATCATCACAAACCATCATCATCACAAACCATCATCACGAACCATCATCACAAACCATCATCACAAACCATCATCATCACAAACCATCATCATCACAAACCATCATCACGAACCATCATCATCACAAACCATCATCACAAACCATCATCATCACAAACCATCATCACAAACCATCATCATCACAAACCATCATCACAAACCATCATCATCACAAACATCATCATCACAAACCATCATCATCACAAACCATCATCATCACAAACATCATCATCACAAACCATCATCATCACAAACCATCATCACAAACCATCATCATCACAAAACCATCATCACGAACCATCATCATCACAAACCATCATTACAAACCATCATCATCACAAACCATCATCACAAACATCATCATCACAAACCATCATCATCACAAACCATCATCACAAACCATCATCATCACAAACCATCATCACAAACCATCATCACAAACCATTATCATCACAAACCATCATCACAAAACATAATCACAAACCATCATCATCACAAACCATCATCACAAACCATCATCATCACAAACCATCATCACAAACCATGATCACAAACCATCATCATCACAAACATCATCATCACAAACCATCATCATCACAAACCATCATCACGAACCATCACCACAAACCATCATCATCACAAACCATCATCATCACAAACCATCATCACAAACCATCATCATCACAAACCATCATCATCACAAACCATCATCATCACAAACCATCATCACGAACCATCATCACAAACCATCATCACAAACCATCATCATCACAAACCATCATCACAAACCATCATCATCACAAACCTCATCATCACAAACCATGATCACAAACCATCATCACAAACCATCATCACAAACCATCATCATCACAAACCATCATCATCACAAACATCACCATCACAAACCATCATCATCACAAACCATCATCACGAACCATCATCACAAACCATCATCACAAATCATCATCATCACAAACTATCATCACAAACCATTATCACAAACCATCATCACCAACCATCATCATCACAAACCATCATCACAAACCATCATCATCACAAACCATCATCACAAATCATCATCATCACAAACTATCATCACAAACCATTATCACAAACCATCATCACCAACCATCATCATCACAAACCATCATCACAAACCATTATCATCACAAACGATCATCACGAACCATCATCATCACAAACCATCATCATCACAAACCATCATCATCACAAACTATCATCATCACAAACCATCATAATCGCAAACCATCATCACGAACCATCATCATCACAAACCATCATCATCACAAACCATCATCATCACAAACCATCATCACAAACCATCATCATCACAAACCATCATCATCACAAACCATCATCATCACAAACCATCATCACAAACCATCATCACAAACCATCATCACAAACCATGATCATCACAAACCATCATCACAATCCATCATCATCACAAACCATCATCATCATCACAAACCATCACCATCACAAACCATCATTACGAACCATCATCATCACAAACCATCATCACAATCCATCATCATCACAAACCATCATCATCACAAACCATCACCATCACAAACCATCATCACGAACCATCATAATCGCAAACCATCATCACGAACCATCATCATCACAAACCATCATCATCACAAACCGTCATCATCACAAACCATCATCATCACAAACCATCATCATCACAAACCATCATCACAAACCATCATCACAAACCATCATCATCACAAACCATCATCATCACAAACCATCATCATCACAAACCATCATCATCACAAACCATCATCACAAACCATCATCACAAACCATCATCATCACAAACCATCATCATCACAAACCATCATCACAAACCATCACCATCACAAACCATCAT